TGGGGGGGGGGGGGGGAATTGTAACTATTTCTGCAATGTACTGGAAGTGTGTGCTGTGTACTATGGATCATTTAACGGTTAAATGATCCATAGTGTATAGTTCCAGGACCAGTACGCTGCAGAAATAGATTTACACTTCCCCCTTGCTTCTTCCAATCTGTCCAACTTCCCTGAATACCGAAAACCAGCTAATGACCACGTCCCGTATGACAGCCACAGCAAGCTCTGTAAGTTTCCTTAGTGTCCTTAGGTAGTCAGCGATGTGCGGCAGGGTCATCCCCCGTTGCTCTTGGGGCCCTTAGGTAGTTGGCGATGTGTGGCAGTGTCATTCCCTGTTGCTCTTGTGGCCTGGTGTCTCTTGGGGACTGTGGGAGGAGCTTCTGTGAGGTCCTCGTTTAGCTGCCCAGAGGACCCCAACAAGCACGGTAACTGAGCAGCCTGAAGCGATCTAAAAATGAAAGCGCCGGTATCAGCGCTATGTATCGGGGCATTTTCACAAGTACTTGTGAAAATGTCCTGTATCGGACCCAGTACTAGTATCGGGACATGCCTAATGAAAACTATGGCTTCTATGGCGTAGGCCTTGGGGCCCAATGGGACAGTATAAACATACAGGTAATGGTGAGAAGGGACTTAAGAAATCACAAAGCCCTCACTCTAATCAGTGCGTAGCACAGAAAAGACTTCTTAAAACAGAAGTTATTCACAGGTCTCACTCCTTCACATATACTAGAAGAGGAATATCCCTCATTTCAGGACAGTGGCTGGAGCCATGCAATATTTTGCATACAAACATTAGCACACAACTATTACCCCTATACCTGTAAGTGATTCCTCTATGTATTTACCTCCCAGCAATTGAAGTGGCAACATCAGAGCACAAAGATAAACCTTTCTATACAAATACTCATCAACTTGAAATCCCCCCCAGGCTACAAACATGCGCTCCTTGTTTTGCGTTGCTACAAAAAGTAGCCGGTGTTCTTTTGGCATTCAAAATAAATCATTGCAATTCCAAAAGTTTGTAACAAAACATGTAGGAACCCTTGAAGTTTGTTTAGGATATTTGTATGGCCATTGCAGACAACAGAACAATGAAAAAATGTTGGGGGATGAAGAGGGCCTATGTGAACATACCGGTCATAAGACAAACATTGTCATTGCTGTCCTTTGCAACTGAAAAAAGGATAGTTGCTGATTTTATGGCTTCGGTATATGGAGTCAAAAGCTTAGATCACAAATGCAGATAAGGACTTTCTTACTGATTTCATAATCTGCATTCTTGTTCCCAGTCCATGACTCAAAGGGGTTGATTTGCTAAAGGCAAATTGACTGTTCACTCTGCAAGGGAAGTTTATCCTTAGGTTAGTGAATGAGGTAAGGCTCTGCCGACTTCCACCATCCAATCATGTGCAAGCAAAAGTAATTTTTTAAAATTAACCTTGCACATGATTGGGTGGTCTTCGCAAAGTGAAATTTCACCACATTCACCAAACATTCCCTGCAAACTGCCTTTAGTGAATTGACCGCGATGCGTTTAAGGCAGAAAGTCAGCATAAAAGGTGCCCATACACCTTACAATTATCTGCAGATTTTCTGTGGTCAGATGGAAAAGGTGCAACAGATTCCTCCATCTACACTTAACTGTGTGTTTGGAGTAATCTCCACCTGGGCCAATCTGTTGCACTTTCCATCTGACCACAGCAAATCTGCAGATAAATTGTAAGGTGTATGGGCACCTTTACAGTTAAAGGAGAACTATGAGATGAGTGATTTCCACTCACCTCATTAGTTCTAGCCAACCTGTGACAATGACACTGTCACAGGTCAGCTCAGTAGATCGGGATGTGTTCGCTCACCTCTCGATCCTGTCACGGCTCTCTGCCGTGACAGGGGGAGGGGCTGGATTCCCCTCTCCGATCTTCCAGCGCTGACTGGCGGAATGGACGGGGGAGGGGCGGGTACAGCTGGCTCTGCCTCTAGATAGGCAGAACCAGCTGTCACTCACGCAGCTGGGCGGATCCCGACGTCTAAGTTCCAGCTCGCAGTATACTGAGCTTAGGGTAAAGGGAGGACGCTAGTTTGTGTCCTCCCGTTACCCTAAGGAGAACTATGGGGGAAAACACTGACCCCATAGTTCTCCTTTAAGCAACAAGTATTTTCAGGAAGAGCATTATAGCCCCTGTATTGTTCTGACATTCATTTCCAATAACATATGGATCATTTTTGCTAAAAGATCTTTTTTTAACCCACGTGTTAAGTGCTACCTGGGAATCCCTGAACATCCTATGTGTGCTCCCCAGCCTATCACTTTGCTCATTCCCCATTCATTCAAAACTTGGATTCTTGGACTTAGTTTCACCTCCCATTATAGTGCTACATTTGGGTCACCTGACTAGCAAAGCACCAGGTTCTGGTGGAGTGAGGCTAGTTCACACCACACATCATAACGCACACATGTACAGTACACTGTTGTAAACGCACATCCATCTGTATTAAAGTGTGCAGCATAGATGCATATGCTCTGTGTGTTACATTAAAATACATGGATACAGGTCCTAGTTTTGGGGTTTATTGGGCTGTCAAATGCAATGTGCCTCAATGCATGCAGCAAACTGCGATTTGTATTCATCTTTCCCTGTCGATTTTAATTAAAATCCATGTTTTGAAGTCATCTGCCCATATCTTCCGTTTCAATATTGATATATATTTCAATAAAGAGATTGAACTAACAAAGCAGTACTTTGCAATTGCAGCATTAGACATTTAATAGCAGTACACTGTGGTTGCAGTTGTAAGGGATTACAGCCAGTGATGGAAACAATATGGACATACAGTACATAGGCCATATGAATGGCACAATTAAATAAAGTTATGTTTCTATGTCCTGCATGTCTTTTATATGAAACAGCACAATCGGTATGAGAAACGGGACTCCACCAGAAGTAGCAGATAAGTCGCCATACTTTGTGGCCAGTGGGATTACACCCAAGCACAACCCCCATTTCTCTTATTTTCCATTCTTTTCTGGAGTAACTGTTACAATCACTGCAGCCTTTAGCACAGGGTAGGCTACCTTGGCTCTCCAGCTGTGCTGAAACTACAAATCCCATAAGGCATTGCAAGCCACAGGCATGCCTCCCAGAGAAGGAAGCATGATGGGATTTGTAGTTTCAGCACAGCTGGAGAGCCAAGGTTGCCTACCCCTGCTCTAGCAGACTCTTGGGCATTCGACACCTCAATGTCAGACGACTTACTCTGCCACATGCTGTGGCTTCATCCTGTGCCTGTAGTGCAATAGGATGGAACCAGAGCAAAAGGCAGGGGACAAAGGCATCAGACACTCCCAGAAGTGTGATGGAGGCTAGTGTTGGAACGGCATGGTGGTAGAAGACAGTCTGCCAGAGAGAACAGTAACTTCTATTGTAGGGAACTCATTTAAATTTTTTGCCAACTGTTCCATTTGTAAAACCCACCTACAGTTAAGACTTTTAGCCCTCATTCACATGGGTATCGGCCACCCCATACAGATCCGTCCTGCGTGCACAGCCGTATCGGGCAGCTCACAGAAGGACAGGTGCTGCGTGATTTGTACAATCCATCCAGTCAGCGCACGAGTACGGACACATGCACCAACGCGCAGGTCAGGTGGGCATAGGGCGGCGTACTCCCATAGAGGACAGGCTGCTGCGTATAAAACACAGCACCTGTCCTTCCCGGGAGCTGCCCGATGCGGCCGTGCACACAGCACGGACCGGTCGTTACCTGTGTGAATGAGGGCTTGGAGGGGGGAAAAAAACCCCACTCAAATTTCTCCTCACATTTTAATTGTGTGCTACATCAAGGCAAGAACCAAAATGGTACCATAGGTAAACACACGAGGAAGGCAGAGGCTACAAAAACCATCACGTTTTGAAGAATATACTGTAAGCAACCCTTTTTTGTCAACTTGCATCTGGCCTGAATTGGTTTACAGGACGAGCTCTGCAATTTTTTAAAATCTGATAAAAACAAACAAAAAAATCCCACAACAAAATGTTTTTTATTGGATTTTTTATTGAGTTTATTTCTGTACAGAACACGTGCCAGCAGGTTTAGATGATGCCAATCTGTAACAGAAGAGAGATTTATTAGAGTAGTGAAAGCCATCATAGAAAATGCATCAGAACTGGTGGAACCGATAACCAAACATCTACACAGCACAAATATATAGATCTATAGATATATCACTATTGCTTATGCTGCCAATGATTGGCTTGTATAGTAGCCAAGCAAAAACTGCATCTAGATATCTATATGCTGCAGATGAGTCGATAGAATGATAAGACTATCAATATCAGGAACTTGCAGTTTTTGCTTGGCTACTATACAAGCCAATCATTGGCAGGATAAGCAATAGTGATACCAGAAGTCACACAAGCATAAACCGTCCCACTACACAGCAGTGACAGCTGTTTACCAAACATAATTGGCTATAGACAATGCACAATCTAAAAGTAGACAGTTCTTTGCAACAACTTAATCTGGAACAGTTTCTTGTTCATAAACCAGTCATAATGCTGCTAGAATATTTGGAAAATGCTGTGCCCTTAAATATAATATCAACCTTGCTGTGCATCAGTGGTTCCTTTGAACACATCAAAGTATTCAGAGATCATATATGTTTTCATCATTTGCACAGTGGGGGAAGAAAAAAATTACAGATGTAGGCCTTTGCTAAAATCTGCTGCAGTCAGGGTGGTTAGTCTCCTGCCATTGAAAGATAAGATCACGCTTGTAGTTTTAGCTCTTACTCCAACCACCATTCCACAAGTATTCTAGGCTAACGCAGCAAGTATGCTGAAGTTTAAAATACGTACAAACTGCATAGAACCCCCATCCCTGTAAGCCCTGCACCCTACATAAAGAGAGGCCGCAGGCACAAATCCTCCCAAGAGACATTAGAACTACAGCGTAAGGGTACTTGCTACATGTTCTTGTAACACAAGTAGCTGGCCCCATGCAAGACTCAAGAGAAATAACCGACTGTTACTATCCCAGGTCACTTCTCAGTTACCATGAAAATAGGCAAGACTTGAACTTTACCTTGTTAGCAACATCGAGCGCATCATAATCGGGAGCAAGACGAACGTACGCCTTCTTCTCACCGTCTGGCCTGCAAAACAAGCAAGAACTTCATGTTGCGTGTCTTTCATAATATTGCAAACCTTCATGCTTATGACCTATATGCATCAGTGGTTCCTTTGAAAACATCAGAGACGTCAGCCAGAATAAGATTTCCATCATGTGCATTTTAAGTCAAGACCAAGCTTGAAAGTCTACAGCCTTGGTAGAAAGACTCGCTGCTTACCTGATGAGGGTGTTCACTTTGGCTACATCAATGTCGTACAGCTTCTTTACAGCTTGTTTGATCTGGTGCTTGTTTGCTTTGACATCAACAATGAAAACCAGAGTGTTATTGTCCTCAATCTTCTTCATAGCAGACTCAGTGGTCAGAGGGAACTTAATGATGGCATAATGGTCAAGCCTAAGATGAAGAATAAAATATTAGACATGTCCACTACAACAGTGTACACAAGTTCAGTCACTGGAGCACTGAAATTATGTAACTTTCTACAACTGGTTACCCACAAAACGACTGTTGCCCTGACCATTGCAACAAAAATCATGTCTGCATTTGAAGCATTTTATTCATGTTATGTACCTGCAAAAGCCTCTCTTATATAGGCATCTAAAAGCTCCGAGACTGCTGCATGGTGGTGTCATCTTGGATGTGACATTAGCAACCAGCGCTCACTCAAGTGGCACTTTATAGCATTTCCCTTCAGTCCTTCCACAGCAGCTACATAAAAGGTTGTGTAGGGAGGGGTGGAGCAGCTGGGCCAACACAGACAGAACCGAACTGAAACTAAAATGACAGATTCCATCATAACCCAAGGTGCTAGAACGGTCATTTAAGCTGCATACACCCCCATGTACACAAACTGCAGCAAAGGCAGAGAGCAGAATCAATGATTCCCACAAACAACTGCTTCCCCCTTTTCCTGGTTTCTAAGCTTCAGTTATATACCAACAGCAATGCTTTATCCTTCAATATAAATGAATATAAAATCTATTTCAGGTTAAAAATCCCGATATCCTGACCTCTGAAACATTATGTGCCCTGACACGTGGGACTTGGACATCCACCTTACAGGCCCAGCCTACCAGGACCCCACCATACAATACAAAGTCTCAAGTAGTGTTTAGGAAAACAATTTAGTAAACTGCTATTAAAGCACTAACAAGGTATTTATAAAGAAACTCTTAACAGTATAAATTCTTCAGTTAGCTCTTCTGATGAGTTATGGAAAGTTCCTGATCCAAATAAAGTATACATGACTATTTAAAAAAAAGTCTTTTGATAGTGGCTTTAAAGTTATTCGATTCCTGAGGCTTTTGGTACATCAGTAAGAAAAAATTGCAATCACGAAATCTCAGTCTTTGATCGCTTTGAAAACATCATCTGTACCAAAGAACTTCAGCGCAGATGGAAGATGAGAGTGGCAACCTTAAAACGTATTCTCCACCAAAGAATTCAAAACTGTCCACGCTTCACTGAATTCACTGTCCACGCTTCATTAGGACCAGAGAACTATCAAATCTAATTGCCCCTCTATTCCTGTTCTGGTGACTCCAAGATGCCCCCATAGGAAGATCACCCCTCTATTCCTGTTCTGGTGACTAATGTTTGACTTTCCCATGGCCTTCAGTCTCTAACAAAATGTCACCAAGTCAATAATGCTACATTCATACTTTACATTTTGGGATTCCTGTGACCGGAATCCTAAATGTCAAGTTTAGATGAGGCCGATGTCACCAGATCAAGTTAATGACCGGGTGACAGCGGCCACATCTGTTACTGGCCATTCGCATGTAATATGCGATACGATTAAATGAGATTTGGAATTGATTACCATCCCTGGACACACAATGACCCGTTCAAGTCATGCAACGGGTGACAGTGGCCACATCTAAAACAGGAGATAAAGGATTCCTACCACAGAAATGAATAGGTCCCTGGTGCAGGAATCCCAAATCTCAGCGTGAATGAGGCCTAGAGACAGTGTGAATCTCCCCATGGGAGCAGGTGAAAATCTGACAGGGGTTTTATCCCCTCACCACCATCCACACCTAAAGTTTGGGCTCCAGGTACAATGTAAACTGACTCTGCTCTTTGAACAACAAATGCAAACAAAATATTAACAGTACACATACTTGTTCCTTGTGGGGGCACTTTTCCTTGGGTATTTGGGTTGCCTCCTCAGTCTCAAGGTTTTGGGTCTCCGGAATGTAGGAGTGGTCCTGATCTTCTTCTTCTTGTGACTGTGAACACCTTTTAGTACGGCCTTCTTAGCCTTGAGAGCCTTCGACTTTGCTTCAGTCTTGGCAGGGACAGCTAGTATAACAAAAACACAATGTGATACATTAATAAACTTAAATCCAAGTATCCAACAGCAGTGTCTCAAAGCACTTCAATTTCATTATTTTACGCTTGCTTCCTTACAGACAGATTGCTGGAACAGAGATCTGGCCCATTTCAAACCATTATGTCAGATTGAAAGACATTGAAAACCATAGGAGGGTCAGGTGATGCCTGCCACCGGGTATAGGAGTAGATGATCACCTTATCTACAGAACATGTCTATAGGATGTCACACAGAAAATTACAACGCTACTAATATCTTATAACAACATTAATATGGAATTCAGGAGCCATCAGGATTTATTTATTTTTTTTTAGGTGCAGCTCCATTAAAAACTAAAGAAAACCTCAAAACGTAAGTCACCAGCCATCATTTTTAAGGAGTATTGGCTACCTGGATCCCGGTATTTGTCCAGCCTTGATTACCAGGAGCCATCAGGATTTTTTTTTCTTTTTCAGCACAGTGAGATGCAACGCGCTACAGTCGCTGTGCCCCTTAGAACGTAAAAAATTTCTCGTGGCGTTTCTATAAATTTTTTATATTTAAAAAAAAAAAAAACTTTGGTTGAGCCGTGGGCAGATTTGCTCCTACTTTCGATCCTATAAATACTGAGACATGAAGTAAGGGAATTTCTAACCATGTAAAAGAGGGCTGGGAAAATCCCTGGAGCCAGGTAGCCAATGCTCCTTAAAAAAAAAAAAATAATCCTGCTGTCTCCTGGATTGGACAGACTGGCCCCTGAATTCCATATTCATTTGTCCACCCCTGATGTAAAAACTTCATCTTCCATCATCTCAGCACTTCATCGCTCCTTTGGTCACATCCCTTCTGCAAAATACCCCAGTGTCAGTTTTCAGGGGGCAATGATGCCACCTCAGTCATGTGACTGCTAGTGTCTAGCAATGTGCTGCTAGGCCTGAGTTCTACAGCACAGGAAGGTCACATGCTCCCCCATTAGCAAAAACCACAAGGGGGATTTATCAAAACTTGGACAGAATTTGGAGCAGTTGCCCATAGTAACCTAACACTTTGTTCAGTTAAGCTTTGAAAATGAGAGAAGCCGATTGGTTGCCATGCATAGCTGCTCCAGTTTTGATTACTGGATTGGTAATTCCCCCCCATTGTACTCATGTTAAGATCAAGGAGACATAATGCTACAGTTGACACTGGCAGCCACTACAGAGTGCGTTAGCAGGTGGGTCACAAGGTTTTGCTAAAAAAGATAGGTTTCCATGGCAACATCTCCAGATTCTGTCTGCTTCAGTTTTGACAGATTTCCATCAAGGTATTGTGCTGAGGGGGAGCCATGCAAATGCAGGTATATCTGTGACCGGCAAAGTGACTGGGTCTCTAAGCCTGAGCTCTTCTCAGAGTAAACTACCTACCTGATACCGTGCAGACTTCACTGCTACTGGCACTTTGTTTTGGGGTTTTTTTGCAGGGAGAAAAAACAAACAAACAACATTTTGGATTTTAAAAAAAATGCTCCAAAAATCTGTAAACACTCGCAATGTGTACGCAGCCTGACTTGTACAGGTTGTCTGCACTCAACATGTCACTGGGGGCAGAGATCTGGCTGGTTTTTACAGTATGCAGACCTTTGTGAATGGGCCATTAGGCTCATCATGCAAGTTACAAACAGAACCAACCGGAACGATCCAAATCAGGAAGGAACTACAGATATGGTGGTAGATGGTACAGATTAGGGCTCCATACTTATGACAATCTGATTGCACAACCACCTTTACATCTAAATAATACGTAGTGTGTGTGTGGGGGGCTGTCTGATTAGATATAAATTGATGGGGAATGTCCCGACATTACATGGTGAATCTGAAGTTACATTTTAGTACAAAGGTAAACTAATCCTTTAATTGCTTCAAATAATGGCCAACTGGACACGTGCGTAGCCATCCACCCCAATCTACTATGAGCAGACATCACCTCTCTACTATAAACAATGCAGAGATCATACCATGAGGAATAGAGGCCTCTCCCCTGTACACATGTGGCCCCTGTCAGTACAACTCCGGGCCCCGGTACATCAGCATTGATGAGCTGGAATCACACTGGCCGTCATACTTTGATCGCTTATATAACATCACGCGTACCGGGGCCGGACCATACCATCAGGAGCACTAGCAAGAGGGGTGAACACAGCCGGCATGTGCCATCAGGATCAGTGGCCAGGGGGATGCACACAGCAGGCCGCGCACGGCGCTCCTTACACACGAGGCGGCCTGAGCTGGCACCATGCATGTAAGAGCACCGCACGTCACCCTGCTGTGAGCACAGAGGAGACCCGGTTGCCATGTGCGGCCCTACGGACCCTTATCCCCGCTCATATAGAGCGTAGAATCCTCAAAGTTCCACCCGCAGCTCTCACCTTCCTTCTTCGCTTTCGGTGCCATCTTGGGGAAAAGGAAGAGCTAAGGGTTTCCCAAGCAATATCAGCACGGGCAGCTGACGTTTACCTCTCGCGAGAACTCGCGTTGTTTCCGCAGTGCATGTTGGTAGTTGTAGTCGGCGCACTAGAGTGGCTCCATTTTACAGCTTCCTGGGGCAAGAGGAGGAGTTGTATGATTTTCAGATACGCCCCTACCTCGACAAGGGACGTTTGGTGAAAAGAAATGAATAAAGGTAGCACGCGGCGTTGTGTTGATGACGTCAGCGCGGCGTGTTATTGATGACGTGTGGAATGCAATTCAGAGGACACAAATGTAAATTAAGTTTTCAGTCTAATCAGCATCTTTGTCTGCCTGTTACAGCCTGCGAAATGACATGCGGGTTATACAGAAAAAACAACAACTTTACTTTGTATTTATAAACACTGAAAACTTACAGAATCTGGAGCTGTTACCCATGGCAACCAACCAGCTTCTTTTTTCAATGTGTTCAGTTTAACTTTGGAAAGGAAAAAGAGAAGCTGATTGGTTGCCACGAGCAACTTCTCCAGATCCTGTCTGCTCCAGTTTTTATAAATTCCCTCATTGATGGGCGTTGCTCATACAGCGGTTTACTTTAAGCGTTAACTCCATGTCCTAGACTGCTTCCATTTTTAGGGTGTAACATAAGGCATGGTCACATATACCTTACCCAAATCCCAATCCGCCCTCCTCGTGGCTAAGACCCCGTTCACACCAGGGCGGTTCAGCTGCGCAGATTCGGCTGCACGGATCCGCCGACATGAACGATCCCATACATTGCTATGGGGACCGTTCATGCGACCGCGTTGGTCCATGTGATCCGAACCGCCCCCCTGCCCGAACTGCTCCCTGCACTATTTTTGCCGCACTGATCACTGTAGTTTCCATACAGGTTTCAATGGAACTGCGCTAATCAGCACAGTTTTGGGCATTTTTAATTGCATTTCAGAGCTGAAACGTAATTCAAAACTCCCAAAACCTCCCATTTTGGATCAGCGCAGTAACTGCGCTGATCCGCAACCAGCCTGGTGGGAATGGGCTCTAAATTGCAGGGTGAATCTTCATGCATGATTCATGAATTCAGCCCGGCTGTGTATGGTTCTGCACGTACAGCCACATCATCCAGGTCTGGAGTTGTTTATAAGCAATGACTACCAGTCCCATCTACCACCACAGCACAAGGACTATGCAGAGTGTTCCCCTCGTCCCCACTCCAGCGCAGACCCCCTCCTCTAGGACCACTGGCATCCTAGCAACTAATCACATCAGGTGCCCACCTCCTCTGCAGTCATCAGGTTGCTAGGACTGCCAGCGGTCCTAGCAACTAGTGATGCCAAATGTGTTCTTCTTCACAACATTCCCATCCCCTTCATAACATTTCCATCCTCTGCTGCAGCCTGCTCCACTTGCCAGCTCCTGCCTCTGGCCTACTAATAAGGTATGTGGGGACAATAATATGAAGGGGACACACAATGTAGGGGGCACTCTAATGGGGGCACTCTAATGGGTGGACACAATAAGGGGGGCACTCTAATGGGGGGACACAATGTGGGGGGCACTCTAATGGGGACACTCTAATGGGCACATTATCAAAACCATATCATTTACTGCCTTTTATCAAATGAATATTGAGAAAAATTAGTTTCAGCCTATTGGCTCGGCCGACCACAACAGTCCCAGTCTCTCATGTGGCCTCTTGAGAAGATGAAATGGCCACCCCTTAGCTATATTGGCATATAGGTAGCATGTAGGCCACCGTGTCACAACAAGGGCATGAACGTGAGGTCTAAATGAGAGGGCACAATTAAAGAGGAACACCAGGATTTTATAAAAGTTAACCCTTGCAATGGTACAACCCCTGCACTGCAAGGATTAGCTGCTCATTTTGGTCTAAGGGTGCAAATAAAGAAAATATACTTGCCTGATCCACAATCCCGCCTGACTACTAGATTGGTCCCTGCGGTCTCTTCTCCCCCGGGCCCCTGGCGGTCTAAGCCCCGCTGACGTCATCACATCTATGCAATGTCCATTCTCCTGCATTATATGTGAAGATGCCGAGGGATAAACCACAGCTGGTGTGGAGGGGGACAGAGGTGAGCGCTGACTGCTGCAGGATCGAGGATCAGTATATGTACTTTATTCCAGCCCCTGGACCAAAACCAGCTTTTCATAATCCTGGAGATCTGATTTAAATACAACGTCAAGGCAGAAAGCTTGTGGAGTTGAAGTTTGTGGAGTGTTACTGGCAGTAATTTGAGGTACTGCAGACTGAGTGACCAAGTAACCAAGTAACGAAGGAGCATGGAGCCGGCTTCCCGACCAATCAAGAAGCTGGGCAGCGTGTAAGGACTCACTGCCTGGCTTCCTAATACCGGAAGTTCCGGTATCGTGATAGGCATAGGGAGCATTTGGGTGAGTACAAGTACTTGCCCAAATACTTGGCATCGGTACCAATACTAGTATCGGTATCTGTGCATCTCTAGTGTTTATAAAGATATTGTGGGAATGTGAGACACTGACTGTCCTAGGTAGGGATGCACCGATACCGTTTTTTCGGTATCGATTACGAGTACCGATACTTTGCTTTCGGTACTCGTTGATACCGAGTACCAATACTGGTGCTTTCGCTGATATGGAGCCGGCTTCCCAGGCAATATGATTGCCCAAGAAGCCGGCTCCATGTTGTCAGGCCGGCTTGGTTGTGCTAGGCCGGGAAACCAGCTTCCTAGCCGAAAAGCATCGTGCTGGCTTCCCAGCCAATCACGAAGGTGGGTTATTACTCGCAGCCCAGCTTCCTGATTGCACTGGAAGCTGGCTCCATGTTCCCATTCCTCTGACCGGAAGTTCTGGTCAGAGGAATGGGAGGAATTTGGTAGTCGCCCAAATACTCGGTATCTGCATCCCTAGTCCTAGATATAAAGAAATCCAAGAATGTGTAAAAACTGTGATGTGTAAAGAGGGAGGAGTCTGGAGTAGCAATAAATGTTCAACAATGGCTGTAGGTACAGTCAATCAAAAGGAATGAGAATGGGGAAGCTGATTGAAATGTTGTGCTCAGTAGATCATTGGCTTTGGGAATTTCTAGGGGAATGAAGATGATCTTATGGAAATTAACAGATAGGTAGTACATACGTCATTCCTGGATTTTGGATGAAAGGTAAGACATGATAAAGGAGGGCTGAAAGGTACAAAGATGTTTTGTTGAGTGTTGGTGTTGTGACTGTATGCACTGAACAAGGGAAGATAATACTAGAAAGGATAGACTGAAAAATGAAGTTACAGAATTTGAGGATGAGAAGTAATAGGGTCCTAAAACCGTCCTGTCACTTCTTCCATTAAATCATCCTAAACAGTTATTACTTTTTGTATCCCCTGGCCCTCCTATATTGAAATTGCATTGTTAACTGTATTGTCTCCCTCAGTTTTGTAAAGCGCTGTGCAAACTGTTGGCGCTATATAAATCCTGTATAGTGTATAATAATATGGAGTGAGATGGAAGGAGTGGTATAAAGAGGACAGCAAGGTGGGACTTGGAAATGATGGGCAGGATAATTAATGTAACTGTATCTTCATAGAAGGCAACATATAACAAGTCAGCACAGGTATTCATAAGACGGTTGTGTGAAGCTGCCAGGGCACATCTCCTGTGGCTCTAAATTCATTCAAAACAAGACAAAGTCGGATGATGTAACTGTACTTCAACTACATTCATTATTTACATTTACTGCAAGCAACATCAGAGCTGTTAATGTATATTTTTATTTATTTATTACAGGTATTTATATAGCGCCGACAATTTACGCAGCACTTTACATAGTTGCATATTCACATCAGTCCCTGCCCTCAAGGAGCTTACAATCTAAGGTCCCTATCTCACATGCATACATAGAGGGCCAACTTAGAGAGCATGTCTCTCTAAGACATGTCTTTGCATGTCCAGCATGTCTTTGGAGTATATACTGTATGTGTACATTGTGTGATAATATAAATACGTTGGGGCTTTAGGTAAGTACAACGTATGTACACTGCAGGCAGCTCATTCCCCTTAGGCCGCTTTCACACGGGCTGATCAGGAGCGGATCTATGCACGGATCCCCTCCTGATCGGAGCGGTACAAATCGGATTTCACCGCTGTGAAATTACCGGACCCAATGTCGGTCAATGGGGAATCACAAGTTAAAGGACATGTGTTCATTTACATCAGATTACCCCCAATCCGGCATAATCAGGTCTTTCGAAACAGAACACTGTTCCATTAGTTTTTCCGGACCTGGCCAGAGTCCGGGGTAACTGGGTGTAAACGGATGTGACCATGACTTATGTTACACATGGCTGCCCATAGACTAACATTGGGCATCTGATTGGGTCCGCCTCAAAAACTGCTGTGAAAGGGACCTTACCCTATGTACTAGAGTAGGTGTACGGGATGAGCAAACTACAAGCTATATCAAATACAACAAATTTGTAACTTCTAATTGGGTTTTTTTTAACCCCTTCATGACTGAGGCCTTTTTTTTTCATTTTTTGTATTGTCCTGATTATTACTTGATATAACCACAACCCTAAGGCCCCATTCACACCAGGGCGGCAGTGGTTCAGTGCAGTTTCCGCACAATTTTTGAAATGGCGTTTTTGGGCGATTCTAATTGCGTTTCAGCGCTGAAACTCAATTACAAAATGCCCCAAAACACGCTAATCAGCTTGTTTCCATTGAAATCTATATGGGAAATGCACTGATCAGCGCAACAAAAGTAGCTCAGGCAGCATTTTTGGCGGCAAGCTATTCGGATCACGCAGGTCCGCGTGCTTGCATGAACAGTCCCCATAGGAATGTATGGGAATGTTCATGTAGGCGGTTCAGCGCAGAAAAATCTGCACGACCGAAACGCCCTGGTGTGAACATGGCCCTAAGCTGGGTATGCAATTTTGGACGTTCGTACAAATAATCTTGTCAGAACATTCACAGGGCTGTTCACAAAAGGGTGAAGAGTTTGGAGGAGGCAGGAGAAGTGAACACTCTAGGCCAACATAGCTGATTTGGAAACATTCTCCAGTTCTGCTATGTTGTCCTAGATTGTTCACTTCTCCTGCCTTCTCCAAACTCTTCACCCTTTTGTGAATAACCCTGTTATTAGTAATGCTATTGAAGACTTGAGGAGAGTCGTTCAAATTATGGTTTTAACAATTGATTTTGGAATGAATGTGGTTTCTCCTCATATTCACAGTTAGAATTTCATTACCTTGAGAAAAGTTTTTTAAAGTATTTCTTTCATTCACATAGTCGCAAGATGAAGTCATTTATTTAAATCCACTTCTTGGTTACTGTAAACAGGTCGGACTATAAATCCATCATGTTGCTTGGTGAAACTGGTTATCTATTAACTGGTGTTTACTGTGGTAGAAACTCAGCTGCTAACAATGTAAGAGGTTTGTGTTTGGTTAATTTAGAAGCTAATTGTGTGCCAAAGAAAAAAATAGAAACATTTCACCAGCCAAGTATTGAAGTATCTGAAATATTGAAGGGACCTCCAGCTGTGCTACAAGAGCCCAAGCCAAGAGATACATTATAGGGGCCTTACTGGTTCCTACAATGAAAATGCTTCTTAATCACACATTGATCAATAACCAATATTAGCTGTGTGCAACACATGCAGATGCAAAGGGTGCCACCCTGTACAGGCCTGTCACACGTGAGCTTTCACCTCATTGTAATATCTCACTGTAGTGTCTACAGTGGCCACTAGATACTTGAGAGAAGCCCCTCTAGTTTTTAACTCTTCCTTCCCTTTTTCTTTCTTTCTGTAAAATCCTGCCAATTTTCTTGGAAGCTTTTAAAACTACACCTGTCATGTAGGTGGGCGACAGACGGACAGGTTGGGGTAAAGAATTCCAGAGGATGAGAGAGACTCTAGAGAAGTCCTGGAGGCGAGCATGGGAGGAGATGACTTGGGAGGAGGTCTTGGGATGAGCGGAGCCGATGGTTAGGGTGATACTTTGAGACCAGGTTTGAGATATAGCCGGGGGCGGAGTTGTGGATGGCTTTGTAACTGGTTGTTAATATTTTGAATTGTATCCTTTGGGCGAGTGGAAGCCAGTGCAGGGATTGGCAGAGGGGGTTTGCAGACACTGAGCGGTTGGACTATCATTATATTGATAGTCAGTGGGAAGAATGCTCATTACATATTATTATTATTATTATACAGGGTTTATATAGCGCCAACAGTTTGTGCAGCACTTTACAAAATGGGGAGACATTACAGTTACAATAGAATTTCAGTACAATAAGGTTAGGAGGGCCCTGCTCATGAGAGCTTACAATCTAGTAAGAGGGGCAAGTGATACAAAGGTAATAAATAACCCCCCCTCACTGGCTTCCAATCGCCAAAAGGATAACATTTAAAATATTAATAATGACTTACAAAGCCATCCACAACTCTGCCCCCGGCTATATCTCAAACCTTGTCTCAAAGTATCACCCTAACCATCCCCTCCGCTCTTCCAAAGACCTCCTGCTTTCCAGCTCCGTCATCAACTCCTCCCATGCTCGCCTCCAGGACTTCTCTAGTCTCTCCCATCCTCTGGAACCCCTTACCCCAACCTGTCCGTCTATCTCCCACTCTGACTGCCTTTAGGCAATCCCTAAAGACTTTTCTCTTCAGGGAAGCCTATCCCACCTCAAAACCAGCCACTCAAACATCACGTTCTCAAACAATTCATCCCCGCACAGCTACCTCCTCATGTATCACTTGCCCCTCCCTTTTAGATTGTAAGCCATCACGGGCAGGGCCCTCCTTACCATCTTGTCTTGAATTGTATTCTAATGTCTCCTTTATATTGTAAAGCGCTGCGCAACCCGTTGGCGCTATATAAATGCGGTATAATAATAATAATATTTGTTTAGATTGAGTTAGTGGAAGAAGTAAAAGGACAGTTATTATGTTGAGGGGGGGAAATGGCTTCCCTAAATAGATGAGTTTTCAAGGATCACCTGAAGGTGGACAGCGTAGGAGATAAGCGGACATATGTGGCTAATGGGAATTATGTCCCCCTTACAGATAGCTGAAAAGTAACAGTGTTTACTTATCCGAAAGGCAAAAATTGCTCACTACTCAAGGAACCTCTAGCAACCTCTGGAGGAACCCTGGTTGGCAAAGGCTGGGCTACAATGTACAGGTCTTGATGTATGTATAATTGTGAGCAAAGTTCTACAATTTTATCATTATGGTAATCTTGTATCTTCATGATATTCATACGATATGTGATTTTTGAACTTGGCTCTATTTACTAACTTCTTCTTGGACTATTAATAAAGTCAGAGCCATCTTTACCGCAGGGCAAAAGGGGCAACTGCCCCGGACCCCATAATTAACAGGGGCCCACAGCTGCTGTCCTTTTAGTCTGGAGTGGCAGGCAGAAGACGAGCGGCCTTGACAGTGGGGAGATCATCACTGACATCGTCCAACCCTTTCTCCTGTTGCAGTGGTTCCTGCTATACTGGTGACTGCTGGGGGCATTGGGATCTCTACTGGTGCCTGCTGGGGGGTTTAGATCTCTACTGGTGCCTGCTGAGAGCATTTAAATCTCTACCGGTGACTGCTGGGGACATTGAGATCTCTACTGGTGCCTGCTGGGGACATTGAGATCTCTACTAGTGACTGCTGGGGGCATTGAAATCTCTACTGGTGCCTGCTGGGGACATTGAGATCTCTACTGGTGCCTGCTGGGGACATTGAGATCTCTACTGGCGCCTGCTGGGGGCATTGAGATCTATTCTGGTTCCTGCTGAGGGCATTGAGACCTATACTGGAGACTGTAGGGTACACTGAGACTCTGAGATCTATACTGGTGACTGTTGGGGACATTGAAATTAAATGTGTATATTTTTTTAGTTCCTTTTTGGAGGTAGGTGGATACGGGGTTCTGGGTCGAGAAGGGGGGAGGGGGGTGATGGAATCAGGAGGGTTGTGGGGGCAGAATCTTGCCCAGAGCCCAATTAATATTAAAGACGCCTCCGAATAAAGGTCACACAAAGTTAGAAAACCCAACATTCTGCGTGACATCATCTAACAGCAAATCTGGTTTGTATTTAGTTGAAATCCATGTGCAGACTCTTTCCATGTAGCCTGAGGGTGGATGTTCTGTGTCACAGTGACAAGTAACAGGTCTAATAGAGGGATGAATAAGAAGGGGGAGGGGGGTTCATTCTGGACTGACTCTCTATCCTTCTTACCACCTCTGATCACTCTGCACCCAGCATGGGGCAATGCAGGGACTTCCCAGCAGCTTCCAGGAGGTTTATGAGTCCCTGCAAACACCCCCAGCATTAAACACAGACCACAGAGTCAGCAGCAGGGGAGGAATCAGAGCCCGGGAATAATTGCCAGGCGACTGAGATATTTGAGTCAGAGTAACAAGAAGCAGCTGCAGGTCCGCCTCCTCTTTCTCCTTCTCCTCTGAGCTGGATCCGAGTGGGCTCCATCGTGATACCTCCTCCTTCTCCTCTGTACAGGCAGATGACAGGTAAGCCTGCGATCATTAGATGTCTGATAAGCCTGGCACTGCAGATGGTGTCTGGAGCAAAGATTATCATTATTCACATGTGATCACTGACATGCAGAACAAGGTTTTATCAAAGCCAAGATGCATGTATGTGATCATCAATATGCAATTTTCTATAGAAGAATACATGCACATTCACACAGGGTCTATAATGTACCCCGATGCTGGGTTTATGTTGTATTGTTGTATTAGATCTCCGTTGTTGTCTGCACACTGTCATGATGCTTGTTGTGTTGTCTGATGTGTTGCCATGCCGGCTGTACACTGAGTAGACTGGAGGAGTGCGGTGCTGCCTCTCCATGTGTTAGATGCGCTTCACATCTCTTGGAATTTCCTGCTCTCATATTACTGCCACAGTTCTGCAGACTTCACCCCGGCCAGGCTTTGTCTAGCATTGTTTGGGGATGATCTGGCTCTGCTGCTCACATTGGGATGATCTTCGTTCTAGAACATGTTTTCCTGGGTGAGAAAGAAAAGTTTTCCTAACTTTCACAAAGTTTCCTCTGTAGAGGGTAAAATAAATAGACTTCTTGTGTGTTTCTTCCCCGCTTTAGGTGAAAACAGGACTTTGTCTTTGGTTACAATATAATTTACAGCTTTTTTTCATCTCAACCTGTATTCATCAGACTCAGGGAACTTAGTGTTAAGTAGTATTAAAGTCTTGTTTTTTTTAACATACACTATATTGCCAAAAGTATTGGGACATCCCTCAAAATCATTGGATTCAGGTGTTCCGTGAAATTTCCTTGCTACTAAATATTCCACGGTCTTCTGTTAGTGGTATTATAACAAAGTGGAAGCGACTGGGAACAACAGCAACTCAGCCACGAAGTGGTAGGCCATGTAAAATGACAGAGCGGGGTCAGCGCATGGGATTGTAGAACCCCACCGCACCTACAACCTATAAATACATTAAAATATATGACAGAATAAATAAAAACTATACAAACGATATGAGTGGAAAATATTGGCCGCGGCGCTTTATTGGGGTTAAAAGCAAAATATAAATTCTTTATTTAAATTCAACAACACTAATATATAAACGAATGAACTTTTAAAACGAGTTAACATAAAGTAGCTCAGTCACCCAGACTCGAGCCATACTCATCACCAGTCCAATATAACATTAACACTGTCCACCCACATCCATGGGGCCACTTCATTATATTTGTGGCCCTGACATGCTGAAGCACACAGTATGCAGAAGTCGCCAACTGCCTGCAGAGTCAATAGCTACAGACCTCCAAACTTCGTGTGGCCTTCAGATTGGCACAACAGCAGTGCGTAGAGAGCTTCATGGAATGGGTTTCCATGGCCCAGCAACTGCATCCAAGCCTTACATCACCAAGTGCAATGCAAAGCGTCGGATGCAGTGGTGTAAAGCGCGCCACCACTGGACTCTAGAGAAGTGGAGACGTGTTCTCTGGAGTGACCAATCACGCTTCTCTGTCTGGCAATCCGATGGACGTGTCTGGGTTTGGCGGTTGCCAGCAGAACGGTACTCACCTTCCTGAATTGTGCCAAGTGTAAATTTTGGTGGAGGGGGGATTATGGTGTGGGGTTGTTTTTCAGGGGTTAGGCTTGGCCCCTTAGTTCCAGTGAAGGGAACTCTTAAGGCATCAGCATACCAAGACATTTTGGACAATTTCATGCTCCCAACTTTGTGGGAACAGTTTGGGGATGGCCCCTTCCTTTTCCAACATGACTGCGCACCAATGCCCAAAGCAAGCTCCATAAAGACATGGATGAGCGAGTTTGAGGTGGAGGAACTTGACTGGCTTGCACAGAGTCCTGACCTGAACCCGATTTAACACAATATGTTGTGGGATGAATTAGAGCGGAGACTGCGAGCCCGGCCTTCTCGTCCAACATCAGTACCTGACCTCACAGGTGCGCTGCTGGAAGAATGGTCAAACATTCCCATAGACACACTCCTAAACCTTGTGGACGCCTTCCCAGAAGAGTTGAAGCTGTTATAGCTGCAAAGGGTGGGCCAACTCAATATTCAACCCTATGGACTAAGACTGGGATGCCATTAAAGTTCATGTGCGTGTAAAGGCAGGCGTCCCAGTACTTTTGGTGATATAGTGTATATCAACTGCTAGCAAGCAGTAGATAAATGCAAAAACATAAAAAAACTGTTACCAAAAAGGTATAAACTTACCTGTGTCTCCGCCGTTCGCTCCCCTCCGAAGTTCTGAACATTCTCGGGCGGCCGCGAAGGATGATGGGGCAGGAGAAGAGGTGAGACAAAGTGTAAGTCAATGCATGCAGCCAGAAGCATGCATGCGCACAGACACCGTGGGACACAAAAAATGCAGCAGTCAGTGCTGGGTCAAAGACCAGCACCAGCGCTGGAGGGACCCCTGAAAACTACTGGAAAGAAGAAGATCAGGTAAGTCCTTACACCAGCTTGGGGGGGCTGTCACTTGAATGTCACTTTAAACTCTCAAATTGTTTCTTTACACTTTTGCCCAAACACTAAGTTTCCATTCACACCTAGCCATATTGTCGCAGCTGATGCAGCACGATAAAACGCTCCCCCCAAGTAATCCTATTGATTTCTATGGCCCCCGTTCACATTTGTGAGCTACTTTGGGGTAGATTTCAGCGAGTTTTGTCCCATAGACACAATAGAAAACGTGCGTTGCTATTTTTTTTGCTAATTTTTGCACGCGTTTTTCCCATTCACATGAATGTGCCAAAATCTGCTCTCAAAAACGTGACTTAACGTACAAATGTAAAACGCGGGTAATAGGTGTCACCTAGTTGTGAATGGAGCCCTACAGTCATCATGTTTACAAATAGCTCCAACTCTCTTAGCTTAACTTCTCTAAGCTTCCTGTCCAGTACAAGATCACAAGGGGAGCACAGTCTCCAGCAACTGTCCATCTACTAGCTTGTAGAAGGGTGGATTAAGGAGCATGGATACATGTAGAAATACTGCTGCACTCCTTACCAGATATCCCAAATTATCATGGGTGCGGATGGTGCCACTTGAGGCAGAACCTATGAGGTAAGTCACCAGCAAACCACAGTGAAGTGAAGACGATGTCTATTTATGGCCTCATATTGTCATTCATAAATGCAACGTTTCTGGGCCACACAGGGTCCTCTTCAACAGACTTGAAATGACATTGTTTGATACATTGTCATTTCAAACCTGATGAAGGGGACCCTGTGTGGCCCCGAAACGTTGCGTTTATGAATGACCATATGCGTCAATAAACAGACATTGTCTTCACTTCTCTATGGTGTGCTGGTGACTTCCCCCATAAGTGTGTGTTTGTGCAGACACACACAGCTTACTAGCACATACAAGGCTGGCTCCATAAGACCCTGCATGGGAAAGGAGTCACCCTTAGGGCTTCATCACACCTTCTGCGTTTGGGCTCTGCTTGCTGTCTTGCCTTGTCATGGATGGTAACAGTTCACACCGCCGTGTTCCTGCATGCAGTATTCCGGTATGACATGCAGTACTTTTTTTAGACATACCACAGTGAGACATGGTACAAGCGGTGAGCCCACAGAAGGTAATGGAATGCCACTTGTGACATTTCAATAAAGTTCTAACAAAAAAAAAGGAACAGTGTGATGCATCTTGGTCGAGCACATCGGCACTGTCTGGCCACACGTGCGGATGAGTGTGGCTGCTGGTGTGAACAAGTACAACAGGATATCAGGACCAGTGATCAGGGGACCAGATGATTCTGCAGGAAACGAAAACTTTTATACATCAAGAAGCAGCATCCATTGTCAGTGATATAATCATCATCATTATTTTTTAATAACTTCCATGGATGACGCGCTGATCCATCCACGTATCTCACCCTGTATTGGCTTAAAACATAGCTTTTATGTAAACCAGAATCTTTTGAAATGATTTATTTTCTATTTGATCTATTTCAGGTATTTATATAGCACCAACAATTTACTCAGCGCTTTACATAGTGCACATTCACATCAGTCCCTGTCCTCAAGGAGCTTACAATCTAAGTTTCCCATTTCACATGCATGCATACACGCATACTAAGGCCGATTTACACAGGAGCCAATGAACCTACCAGCATGTAGATATGTACATACTGTATACCTGTGTGTATCTTACTGAGAAAAGGCGGTACTCATTGAATCAATTAAGTCCATTTGAATCCATTACTTACTGTATCCAGAGGTCATCTATCTCCTATTCATTTATCTG